TATAAACTGGACACTTAATCCTGTCCAATTGACTCACTCCTGCCCACACTGTACTGCTGAGTTATTAAATGCTAGACACTTAATCCTGTCCAAATGACTCACTCCTGCCCACACTGTACTGCTGAGTTATTAAACAATGGACACTTAATCCTGTCCAATTGACTCACTGACTGCCCACACTGTACTGCTGAGTTATTATATACTGGACACTTAATCCTGTCCAATTGACTCTCTCCTGCCCACACTGTACTGCTGAGTTATTAAACAATGGACACTTAATCCTGTCCAATTGACTCACTCCTGCCCACACTGTACTGCTGAGTTATTAAATACTAGACACTTAATCCTGACCAAATGACTCGCTCCTGCCCACACTGTACTGCTGAGTTACTAAACAATGGACACTTAATCCTGTTCAATTGACTCACTCCTGCCCACACTGTACTGCTGAGTTATTAAATACTAGACACTTAATCCTGTTCAATTGACTCACACCTGCCCACACTGTACTGCTGAGTTATTAAACAATGGACACTTAATCCTGTCCAAATGACTCGCTCCTGCCCACACTGTACTGCTGAGTTATTAAACAATGGACACTTAATCCTGTCCAATTGACTCACTCCTGCCCACACTGTACTGCTGAGTTATTAAACAATGGACACTTAATCCTGTCCAAATGATTCGCTCCTGCCCACACTGTACTGCTGAGTTATTAAACAATGGACACTTAATCCTGTTCAATTGACTCACTCCTGCCCACACTGTACTGCTGAGTTATTATATACTAGACACTTAATCCTGTCCAATTGACTCACTCCTGCCCACACTGTACTGCTGAGTTATTAAACAATGGACACTTAATCCTGTCCAATTGACTCACTCTTGCCCACACTGTACTGCTGAGTTATTAAATACTAGACACTTAATCCTGTCCAAATGACTCACTCTTGCCCACACTGTACTGCTGAGTTATTAAATACTAGACACTTAATCCTGTTCAATTGACTCACTCCTGTCCACACTGTACTGCTGAGTTATTAAACAATGGACACTTAATCCTGTTCAATTGACTCACTCCTGCCCACACTCTACTGCTGAGTTTTATTGTACAGTATACTGGATTATATACCTGCCCACTGTATGTGTATAACTGTTATAAAAGCCAGCAATGTTTAAGAATATCAGTGTTGGAAATTAATTTGATACAAAAATTGCCTCATCATGAAAATACTTGTTATGGTTAATTAATAGTATTTTTTTATTTGATTCCAGAATGTTCGTATTGTTAATGGAGCTTCTCGTCCACGCACAAGTGTATTCCATGGTCCATCAAAAGAACTAGCTACACTAGAAAAAGAGTTTGCGAGGTGAGTTTTGTTTGTTTGTCATTTAATTGATTTTGTTTTTATTTACAATGTAATTGAAATTTTTTCATTATGATTAATCAAAATTTGTGACCTAATTTGGTGAAATGCGCTTTGCAGGGAGTTTACAGGATGAGTATGAAATAGTCTTGTTGTGCGTTGCTAAGGTAACAGTTGATAGAGCATACAAGCCCAGCTGTAAACATCATCAATTGTAAATCCGTGATGTGTGTATGGAATTCTAGATGCACTATGTTGAGTGTAGTTGCTGCCTGCCTGGAGGTGAAGGTATACATGTATAAGCCAGAGACAACCTGTGTGTTATCTTGTACATATAGATTTGTAAAACAGACATCTGAATATAAGTGTCCAAATCGCAATGGCCTTTAAGTGGCAGGCAACTAACTAAATGCACAAGTACTATCTGAGTAATATTAATTCTTAAGATTAATTTTTTATGAGTGTGCTAGCTCAGCCATCTTGTATACAAGCCTCAGCGTTTTCTAATCATCTTCTCAAAAGTTGTTAAGGATTGAATGGCCACTGTTTATGTCAATTACGATACTTTAAGCTTTTGTGCTGCGAAAATATATCAGGCTTGAATTCCAGTCGACTTTAATTCCACGGGTCCCCTGACTTTGATTCAATTCTACCTCAATAATGTTCCATTTCATTTTCTTGAAAGTGTGATTGTCAAATATAAATCGCTGCAATTGACCTAACCTTCGTGGTTACTGTAATCTTATTAACCCTTTCAGTGCCATTATTTTCCCCTGCCAACATTTTTTAGCTACATTTTGCCCATTTTTATGCGTTTTAATTTCCATGATTACTTTCTTTAATTTCAAATTGGTTGCATGTCTTATGTGAGTCAATTTCAGCGCGATGACAAAAGTTGATATTGGTTATCAAAGGGTTCAATTGATTGTGGTTGGAGGCATCTATGGCGAGATCCAGATAAAGTAGTCATTTCTTTGTTGTCATATTATTTAGAAGCCAAGAAAGCCTATTTAGCTGATTGTCACAATTGTAAGATAATTAGAATAAGAATTAAAAAATCAAGTTGAAAATACATGAATACAATTATTTTACTGTTGAATATTTAAAATGTTTGTAAATAAAATCTTAAGAGCTCTTAATGAAAATTATTGGTGTTCTACTGGTTCAAAAAAATTATTGGTAAAAATACAAAAATAATATGAATTTTTAGCACAGATTTGTAAACAGCCAACACCATTATGTTAAAAAAAATTTGTACTTTCTCGAATGCCAAAGTCACTTTTTGAATGCCAAAGTTTCCTTTTGAATGCCAAAGTCACCTTTTGAATGCCAAAGTCACCTTTTGAATGCCAAAGTCACTATTTAAATGCCAAAGTCACCTTTTGAATGCCAAAGTTACCTTTTGAATGCCAAAGTCACCTTTTGAATGCCAAAGTCACCTTTTGAATGCCAAAGTCACTATTTGAATGCCAAAGTCACTATTTAAATGCCAAAGTCACCTTTTGAATGCCAAAGTCACTATTTAAATGCCAAAGTCACCTTTTGAATGCCAAAGTCACCTTTTGAATGCCAAAGTCACTTTTTGAATGCCAAAGTCACTTTTTGAATGCCAAAGTCACCTTTTGAATGCCAAAGTCACTATTTGAATGCCAAAGTCACTATTTGAATGCCAAAGTCACTATTTGAATGCCAAAGTCACCTTTTGAATGCCAAAGTCACTATTTGAATGCCAAAGTCACCTTTTGAATGCCAAAGTCACCTTTTGAATGCCAAAGTCACTATTTGAATGCCAAAGTCACTATTTGAATGCCAAAGTCACCTTTTGAATGCCAAAGTCACCTTTTGAATGCCAAAGTCGCCTTTTGAATGCCAAAGTCACTATTTGAATGCCACAGTCACCTTTTGAATGCCAAAGTCACTATTTGAATGCCAAAGTCACTATTTGAATACCAAAGTCACCTTTTGAATGCCAAAGTCATTATTTGAATGCCAAAGTCACTATTTGAATGCCAAAGTCACTATTTGAATGCCAAAGTCACTACTTGAATGCCAAAGTCACTATTTAAATGCCAAAGTCACTATTTAAATGTCAAAGTCACTATTTGAATGCCAAAGTCACTATTTAAATGCCAAAGTCACTATTTAAATGCCAAAGTCACTATTTGAATGCCAAAGTCACTATTTGAATGCCAATGTCACTATTTGAATGCCAATGTCACTATTTAAATGCCAAAGTCACTATTTGAATGCCAAAGTCACTATTTGAATGCCAAAGTCACTATTTAAATACCAAAGTCACTATTTGAATGCCAAAGTCACTATTTGAATGCCAAAGTCACCTTTTGAATGCCAAAGTCACTATTTGAATGCCAAAGTCACTATTTGAATGCCAAAGTCACCTTTTGAATGCCAAAGTCATTATTTGAATGCCAAAGTCACTATTTGAATGCCAAAGTCACCTTTTGAATGCCAAAGTCACTATTTGAATGCCAAAGTCACTATTTGAATGCCAAAGTCACTATTTGAATGCCGAAGTCACTATTTGAATGCCAAAGTCACTACTTGAATGCCAAAGTCACTATTTAAA